GCATCTTTTGGCTTCAACATTATGAATATGTGTATCACTACTATCGAGATTCAATAAAAATAGACCACTCTTCAAGGGTGCATGACCATAAAAGATATTACTCATATAAATAGAACAACCATTATTCTCTGATTTAAATGAATAACCGTCTCGCATCAAATAAGATCCAGATATAATGTTCATGCTCAACATTGGCACCAAATAACAATTATTTAGGTCTAATACTAATCCCGAAGGTAGATGTAAAGGTAGCGTGCCGACCGCGATCACATCGACTTTGGAACCATTTCCCATGCGCATCGTCACCTCGTCCTTAGCCAATCTCCGCTTAATCCGTAGCCCCTGTTTCGAGTTGCAAATATTAGCAACAGAACCAGTATCAAATACCCAGGTGCTACTGCGAGCATTAGTAAGGTACACATCAATAACATGTATATCACATATACCTTTGTTCACCTTGCCATCCTTCTTATCCGCCAAATACTTGGGGCAGTTCCGCTTCCAGTGACCAGTTTGCTTGCAGTAAAAGCACTCAGTTTTAGGCTTAGGTCCAGACTTGGGTTTCTTCTCCTGAGCAGCAACTTGCTTGCTGTTCTTCTTGAAGTTCCCCTTCTTCTTCCCTTTGCCCTTTTTCTTGAAACTAGTGGTCTTGTTGACCATCAACACTTGATGCTCCTTCTTTATTTCTACCTCCGCAGCCTTTAGCATTGCGAAGAGCTCGGGAATCGTCTTTTCCATCCCTTGCATGTTATAGTTCATCATGAAAGCTTTTGTAGCTTGGTGGCAGTGATTGGAGAATTCTGTCAATGACGCTATCATCCGTAAGATTAACTCCCAGTTGAATCAAGTGATTATTATACCCAGACATTTTGAGTATATGCTCACCGACAGAACTATTCTCTTCCATCTTGCAGCTGTAGAACTTATTGGAGACTTCATATCTCTCAATCCGGTCATTTGCTTGAAATATTAACTTCAACTCCTGGAACATCTCATATGCTCCATGACGTTCAAAACGTCGTTGATGTCCCGGTTCTAAGCTGTAAAGCATGGCACACTGAACTATCGAGTAGTCATCAGCTTTGCTCTGCCAGACGTTTATAACATCTGGTGTTGCTCCTGCAGCAGGTCTGGCACCCAGCGGTGCTTCCAGGACGTAATTCTTCTATGCAGCAATGAGGATAATCCTCAAGTTACGGACCCAGTCCGTGTAATTTCTACCATTATCTTTCAACTTTGCTTTCTCAAGGAACACATTAAAATTCAACGGAACAACAGCACGGGCCATCTATCTACAATCAACATAGACAAGCAAGACACTATCAGGTACTAAGTTCATGATAAATTTAAGTTTAATTAATCATATTACTTAAGAACTCCCACTTAGATAGACATCCCTCTAATCCTCTAAGTGATCACGTGATCCAAATCAACTAAACACTAGTAGAAAACAGGGCTTTGGTCCAGGGCAATATTCACATTAGTTCCGGTTCAGTCACGAACCGGGACCAATGCTCAGCATTGGTCCCGGTTCGTGCGGCTAAGGCATTAGTCCCGGTTCATCTGAGCCCTTTAGTCCCGGTTTAGGACACGAACCGGGACTAAAGGGTGCGATGCCCTTTAGTCCCGGTTCGTGCCTCAAACCGGGACTAAAGATTAGACCTTTAGTCCCGGTTTGACACACGAACCGGTACTAATGGGGTTGAGACCTTTAGTCCCGGTTCGTGCCATGAACCGGTACTAAAGGTCCCATTTTCAAACTCTACCCCCCCTGGATCGCCTTTTCAGTTTAAAAAAAATAAGAAAATGATGGAAATGCCAAAGAAATAAAAGAAAATAAGTTTCCCATGTGATATGTGGTCTAGTTGTTGGGAAAATTTGCAATGTGAATTTCGACTTTATTTGCAACATCTCTCTGGAATTTGTAAAATGGGCATAACTTTTGCATACTAACTCGGATGAAAAAAAAAATTATATGAAAAATCATCTACTTGAAAAGTTACATCCGAATTTAACCGGGGGAACCGCATTAAACATTTTCAAAATCCTCAAAAACCTAATAGAAAAAAAGTTACGGGGCTTTTAAGATCTAGAGTGGAAAAAATCAATTTAAAGCAATTAAAATTAAAAGAAATAGCATAAAACCTATAAAACATTAAAACATAACTGTTTTCATAAAAACCTAATTTTTAAATAATTATAAAATTCGCCAATTAATTACTACTAATAAACAAAGTCACAAAGAACAAGTACCAGAAAGAATCATCTGAAAAAATACTCCTACCTCAAATTATAGGCAATCTAGTGATTTGAGCAAATTCATGAAAATTCAAATTCAAACTTTCAAATATAGTCAAATTTGATATCTACAGAAACTTCATAAAATTTCTAATCTAATGCAAAAAGAACAAATTAAAATACAAAAAATCTTAATTGATATGAATTTTCTAAAACAGCAGAGCAGGTGTTGGCCGGGACTATTTGGCCAACTGTTGGCTGAAAAGTCCCTCTTCAGCCTACAGTAGGCCGAAAAGTCCCTCTTCGGCCAACAGTAGGCCGAAAAATCCCTCTTCGGCCAACAGGAGGCCGATGGGGCTGATACTTTTGATTTTTCTGAATTAGGGCGTATAGTTTCCGAATTTGCTACAAAAATCATCATAGTTTAAAAAAAATCCCGAATAGGATCCAGCCCCCTTGGAGGCCGAACGGGGTCGCGAGCCCCCATTCGTAGATTGCAATTTTCTTTTAACTATGTACAATATACTAGACGTTCTGTCGCAGCCCATCACATATGTGCATAGCTTGCTTGATTGATTTTTGCACGCGTGTAACTTTCAGAACGTGAAGCTCGGCCAAAATTCTCAATGGCTTGCCTCCGTGCTTTCCCTCTTTAGTTTGGACGAATAACCGCTGCACGGCCGCTGGGCCAGCTGCTTGCTGCTGCATAGAACGTCTCATGTTGTAGCGTGCGACTGCTACCGCCCGAGTGACGAGCCGAGCTGCCATGTTTTCATGTATATTTTGATTTCGTTTTGAATTTTGGCCACCTCTTGATTCCTTGTCACGCTCCGCCACCGAGAGCAGAGTGAGGAATTGCCCTCCACTCTATAGCTGCACCACCGAGACCAACTCACGCTATTGAAATATATGTGAAGACCATATCTAGAAACTAGCGTTGCACAACTATTCTCTCACTCACTATAAAGATAAACACGTGCCCAATTACATGGATTCTCAAGAACTCAATAAAAGCAATTTTCAAACGAATCGATAAGGCGCGGCATGCCCTACCATGTGCATGCATTGCATGACACATGCAGAAGTATAGCGGCTCGAACCCGCCGTACATGCAAGCATGGCTGAACGGGGTGGACGCGCCGGGGCTTCATAACTTAGATTTTGCCTTTTATGGGATGGTTTGCCCAGTATGAATTGAAAGGAGCATAGAGCCAAGTTGTTTTTAATTTTTTGTACGGCGCCAAGTTGGTCCGGGGCACGTGTGGGGACGACGCCGACGGGATGGGCTCGTCTTGCTCCTCCACCAGAGGGCCCTCCAACGGCTCGCTGGCCATGAACATGGGTGTTGGGTCCTGCGGCCTTGTCCGCCGGGTCTAGCCACCCATCTTTATCTTGTCCCTCGGAATAAGGACGTCCTGCGGCGAGATAGTACATGAGCTTGGGGGCCGGGGCAGTACACTTTGTAGCGTTTGTCGTTGGGACAAGTAGTGCGCTTCAGAGCGCCATGCCTTATCGAAGGCCTCGTCGGCCTGCACCAGTCCATATGCCGGCTGCGGCTGCGGCATGACAACCGTCCGGTTCACATGCAGTTGCGCGTCTCTCCACGCGGCGGGTGCTAAGACGAACACTGTTGGGTGATTGGCGTTGCTCTGGTTGGGTTCCCCTCGGATTCCATTGTCCCTGAGGTACAAGAGACAGCTTTCGCCGCCTGGCCACAGACAGGCGTGGAGCAAGCAATGCGTTAGTCTGCAAACTAATACTACTATAAGACCTTTTAGATCAGTAAAAATGGTCTTAGTACTCTACATTGTATGTTGATAAATACTACTTTAATTTGTCCGTTCCTACGTATAAGTCCTTTTAGAGATTCCAATATTGGCTAAATACGGATGTATATAGACTCATTTTAGAGTGTAGATTCACTCATTTTGCTCCGTATGTAATCCATACTGAAATATCTTTAAAAAATGGATGGAGTATTACTCTATTAGGGAAATACAGTATTTTTTTTCCTTCAAACCACTCCTATAAAATCTCATTTTTGCTAGTAGAATTATTAATGGTCCTCATTCTTGTGTCTGAAAAACGTATTTTTTTTTCCTTTTACTGACTTTTGTTGACCACCCATCACATGATTTCTGCTAACGGCTGACCAAATCATTTTTTGGGCTGGCTGGGGCACTCATTAATTTCTTGAGATCTAGTATTTTCTCGTTGTGGGCTAAGCTATGTAGTACAATAGTAAAAATTGCAGATTTTGTTGATGTGCAATTTTTTTGTGATTATGTTTTTTCATGCAAAACTGATAAAATGTTCAACAACATTTCTCATATAAGATATAATAATATTAATTTGGTGTTCTTTTGCTAATTATTTATTAATGGGCAAACTTAAAAAAAATGTTTGATTGAGAAAAAAAATCTAAAGCTACGTATTATTAACCAGATGTATGTAGAAAAAGGTTATATTGTTGAAACAGGGATGTGCGACTAAATCACATATTCTAACAACTCAAATGGTTCCAATGTAAGGATCCGAGTGGTATCTTTAGCAACTCGGAATCATACGTAGAAATAAATGAATTCTAAAATTTTGAACATACCTCGGTACTCTCCATTTCATGAAGCCTGTCCATTATATCTTGTGCACTTGGTCTCTTCTTTGGATTGAAATCTACACACTCTAAAGCTATCTCGTAGCATACTCGGATTTGCTTGCTTAGTGTGTCTCGTTGCGATCTCTCCAATCTATCACTCCAACTTTCAAGTACCTATAAAGTTCCAGCAGCGAGTTATGGTCTATCAAATGGATCAGTAACACTTGCACTTTCGGAAATGAAGCATCGAAACTAAGAGCGAAAATTCTCTCAAAAACAATCTATTGTGCTGATTCTGTAGTAGCCAAATTGTGCTTTCCACTACTAGGTGTTCTTCCAGAAATGATATTATGCAACATTTCAAAATAAATGTAATGACAATATGCAAAGTAAAAGTGTAACAACTATTTTAAGGTACATCCTTCTTGGCCAAAAAGGAAATTGATTTTTTTATAATTGTTGAAAAGTTCTATATTGTTCTTACTTGCTCAGTAGCTTGATAGCCCTTCTGCCTGGTCAGTATTTCTATGATAATAACACCAAGACTATACAAGTCAGCGCTGGGTGTGATTACACCCCCTTCGCGAAATTCTGGTGCCAAATACCCCCTGTTTGAAAATACAAAAAAATCTGACCAGTTAGTGAACAAGGAGAGTGCGATTCAAACCGTAGAGTAGAAAAAAGACTGAACTTGCAAGAGGAGTTTGCTAGCTTACATTGTTCCTAATATAGTTTTGGTAATATCCCGGCTCTGATTTTCATCAAAGCATCTGGAGAGTCCAAAATCAGTAATTTTTGGTGCCATGCTATCGTCGAGCAGTATATTGGCAGGTTTCAGATCCAAGTGAATGATATGATTCTCATGAAGGAACTGCAGCCCCTCACATATGCCTTTAATTATTTTATAGCATGTTCTCCACCCACGATATGCATCTAAAAGGGGAAATGGTTTATAAATTGAGACACTTGATGTCTAGATGTTATACAATACATTAGAAAATTTCTAGTATATGGAGCATATGGAGTGATAGAGAGAAAAGTTAGAGGCCGCATATCTTACCGGTGATATACTTATCAAGACTCCCTTTAGGTATATACTCAAAGCAAAGCAATCGTTGGTGGACATCTGCCATAACAAGTTTACCATTGTATGCTTCCATACTTCCTTGTCTGTCGGCACAATATCCCAGAAATCTAACTACATTTTTGTGCTTTACCCGCATCAGGCATTGAACCTCTCGGTGAAATTCTTTATCATCCATAAAAGCATTGGACAGCCTCTTCACGGCTACCGCCCAATCACCAATGGTTCCCTGCTTCCGTAGTATGTGTTAGCATAGTACCGGTTTGAGGTTTTGAATCAAGGGTGATTAAGATTGGAATGTATACCTTGTAAACCACAGCAAACCCACCTCTTCCAATCTCCCGATCACCAGAGAAATCGTTTGTGATGTATTCCAAAAGTGATAATGGTAGGGCCATGGGCTCCGTTGTTTCATCGACTAACATTTGCTCTAGGTCAACTCGCGCAGTATTAGCTTTGCGTTCCATTTGAAGTCAATGTGTAATTAACCCGGAAACAAGAGCATCACATTACGTATGTGGCTAATTTTAACATGGTCCCTCTTACATCCTATTTTCATGTGGGAGGTAAGAAGTTACTCAGACCCACAACTTAATGAATCTCTTTTCTCTCTCTTCGCAAACATGGTCTCTCTCTCCTCCCAACCTGACACGACATCACAAATCTCACCACATGCATGGTCCATCTCTACTCTCCCTCTCCTCCCAAAAAAATTAATTTGTGAATAGCTTTGGATATTGACTCCTCGGCATCATGCATCATAATTTATATTTGACTCACACAATTTATCAAACACCAATAATCACAGTGAATGATACTACGTTTATAGTGCATAGTATCATAAAGTAGTAACATAGGTGATCATATTTATTGCCATGCATGACACAAAGTAGCATAACATTTAATATGATACGGTATAATCTACCTATGTTACTCAAACCCTCTCTCTCTCTTTTTTAATTGTGTGCCACATAAGCATGTTTGCTAATCCTAAGTGCATGTTATTGGTTATATTACCCTCACTATGGCCAGCCTTACTACGCGCTCACAGGCTGAAGCAGCATAGTAAAGCCGGCTGCTCGACCCCACGAGGGTGCATAACGTGGCTATCATGCTCAAGGCGCTGAATGTGACTGCGAGCGAGATGTGTACAATTCACTGTGTATTATTGGTGTTTGATAAATTGTGTGAGTCAAATATAAATTATAGTGGGGATCCTCCCCCTGTGATCGTTCAAAAAATATAAATCATGGGAAACTAAGTTTTGAGGATGGGTTAGATGGTCACAAATTTAATTCCCAGAAAACTGGCAATTAATGGATGGTACAAGATGGAGAAATAAACTATGGGGAACGGGCTAGGGATGCCCCTGATGCCCTATTCGAGCATTAATTTCTCTGTCGATTCGGATGGGGAGACATCTGTTCGAATCACACATACCATGGTGTCCAGGCCCTATGATGATAACTTCATTCCGATAAAGGATGCCATTTGGCACCATTGGGTTCTTTGGTTATCAAATTTGCACGACTCCAGCGCTGAATACTGCCTATGGGACGGCCGCAGATTCGTGGGACGAGTACCTCCGGATGTCTGAAAGCACATGCCTCGAAAGCACATACCTTTGGTTATCAAATTTGCTATTTGTAGTGGTCAAGGTGTTTGGACTGGAATACTTGAGAGAAACATCGGACCCGGGTTCCACGAGTCAGACGGTGTTGATGTCTCCACGTAATTTCCTCGTTGGGCCATCGTCTTGGATTGTTCTGCTCTGAGCGGATCCGCCCCTTGCTGCTCCTTCTTCACCTCAGTTTTGATCCTAATGGACCTTTGTCCTAGGAGACTTAGTTGGCGCTTGCCTGGAAGTCCTGGGGTGGCCTCGACGACTCGCTACCCTTCGACCTCGGCGGCGGTACATCGGAGACCGCGCCTTTCGGTCTCGGTAACACATTGTCTTTTGGGTTCGCCAGCAGCACACCGGTGCCGCCGCACCAATTAACTCGGCTATCCGACGCCCTTCGTTCGTGCCATTGACACTTCTCGGCATGCTCCTACTTCGATTATCCTTTTGGACAAGGCTATGCTCCATGGTGACCCAGACGAGGCTTGCGTGGATGTCCTGGCGTGGCCTCGACGCCAAGCTGCCCTTCCACCTCAGCGACAGTACACCGGTGTCATGCCCTTCGGTCTTGGTGGCGCACTGTCTTTCGGCTTCGACGGCGGCACACCGGTGTAGCCGCACGAACTCGGCAATGACACGCCCTTCATTCGTGCCATAGGCCTTCTTGTGGTTCCTTGTCAATGGTAGAACGAGCTGCTTGTGCTATGTCCCCCTGTGAGCTATTGTTTTTGGTGTCTTTTTTTTCTCCCTAGGCCTTCTTGTGGTTCCTTGTCAATGGTAGAACGAGCTGCTTAGCGGAGCTCGCTCCTGAGGTGTTGGTTACCAGAGATTCTCACTTTGGTCTTTGTGCCAGTCTTCCCCTTCGTTTACTCTGTTTTTCTAGTGTTTGGCTCTCCCCGTGGGCGTCGTCCTCTGTAAATTTTCTTTGCACTTTGTGTGCGCCTTCATGTATTTGTACTGACTGCCAAGTCACTCTTCGAGTTGGAAT